TCTTCTTCTTCTTCTTCTTCTTCTTCTTCTTCTTCTTCTTCTTCTTCCTCCTCCTCCTCCTCCTCCTCCTCCTCCTCCTTCCTCCTCCTCCCTCTCCCTCTCCCTCTCCCTCTCCCTCTCCCTCTCCCTCTCCTTCTTCTTCCTCTTCTTCATCTTTCTCCTCCTCCTCCTTCTTCTTAAATCTAGAATCACCAGTCAGTTCTCCCACTTCCCACGGCAAGGCCTGACAAGAGTCAAGGCAGCGGGCCCTCAGCCAGCTGGCCAGAGGCTGCCATACTCACCGGCATTGGTACATAAGCTACCGCAGAGGACACCAGAACAACAGAGCTTCCCCTTGAGAAGAAAGGGACACAGAGTGGAATTAGAGACTCATTCAATTAAAAGCGGCAGGAAACTGTGTTTTCACACGAAGAGGAAACAGCTCAGAGTTCACGGTGAAAGTGCATGACCCCCATCACCAACCCACATGCACTCACCCCCTCTTCTCCATGTGTGGCAGCAACTGGCTTAGCAACAGAGCTGGGGACTTCACATTGACATCCAGGATCTGAAATCCCAAACAATGCAAAGGTTGGACTGAGAGATGAACACCATTATCTGGGGCCTATTGTCCGGCACCAGAACCGAACAAAGCTCCATAAGTATGGTGGGTAGTTGAGACGCTGAGTCCTTTTACTGTGTGTGAGGGTATCTTAGTTAGGGTTTTATTGCTGTGAAAAAACACCACAACCAAAAAACAAGTTGGGGAGGAAAAGGCTTATTTGGCTTATATTTCCACATTACTGTGCATCATTGAAGGAAGTCGGAACATGAACTCAAGCAGGGCAGGAACCTAGAGGCAGGAGCTGATGCAGAGGCCATGGAGAGGTGCTGCTTATGGCCTTACACCCCATGGGTTGTTCATCCTGTTTCCTTATGGAACCCAGGACCACCAGCCCAGGAGGAATTACATCACCATAATGGGCTGGACCCTAACCCACCAATAACTAATTAAGAAAATGCCTTGCAGCTGGATCTTATGGAGGCATTTCCTCAAATGGGGATCCTCACCCTCTGACAACTCTAGTTTGTATGTCAGGTTGACGTAGACCAGCCAGCACAGAGGGTCAGAGTTTGTCAGAGGACAGACATACTTCTGAGGCCCCAAGTTCCCTAGGCCTCAGAGAGTTACCATACTCAGCTCCCAGAAAACAGTCTTCCAGGGGAAGGGCAGAAAGCATGGGGAAGAAAAGGAGAAGAACTTGGTTATCAATGACTGACTGGAAGGAGGAGCATGGGTAAGAGAAGAGAAATCTGTACTTGGCACCTAATCTACCTCATGAAGTGTTTAAAATGGGGGCTGGTGATGCTCGTCATGTATGTGTTGTTGTGGATACGATTTTGGTTGGGTTAGGTTGAGTTAAGCATTTATGCAATATTGGGAGTCAAATCCGGGTCATTTTTTTTAAAAAAGAAAAAAGAAAAGAGCTGGAAAAGTCTGAATGTTGTGGATGGGTGAGGTAGAGGAACTGGAAGGTCGATCAAGGAGGCTGTGGAACTTGAGAACCAGAGGGAAAAGTGGGGCAAAGTCTGCCAAGAGAAAATGTAGGGGTGGCCAGGGAAAGAAGAGCCACAGAAAGGAATGGTACACTCAGATCACAGGCCCATTCCCTGCCCCCAGGGACAGGATGGGCTCAGATCTGACTAGTCATAAGCGAGCTCATCAGGAAAACAGGGATGGGGGTCTGCAGAGGTAGGGAGAGCTTCCTGACTTCTCAGTGGCTTCCAACTGAGATGGCAGAACTAGGGAAGAGCCCCATCTGTCAGCTCTGTCTGTGGCTCTTTGGAACAGTCAGACTGAAAGGTTCACCAAGGCGCCAGTGAATCCAGGTTGTGACAGTTTCATAAACCTGAGTCAGAGGGGCTCTACCATGGCCAGAGCCAGAAAATCTGTTTCTGGCATCTCAGGACTTAGAAGCAGTGATCCACACAAGGAGAAGCAACACAGAAGCTACAGAAGCCTGGCAGAGGCAAGGCATGGACAACACCCATTGAACTTAATTATGCAAAGTCTGGCTCAGGGAAGTCCCACCTCCATCCATCAACGCCAGTGCTGACTCAGCTTTGTGGGGACCCGGGTATGTGCACGTGCGTTCGTGCAAGCGTGAGTACATACATACACCATGTTGAGTGTGGAAGGTACTCTCCTCACCTTGTCCCAGATCTGTTCACTGGCTCCCAGGGTGCTTCCCACGAAAGGATTGACTCCGGCCACACACACCAGGAAGTCAACACCCCCGGAGTGTTCCAGGGCCTGCGGCACAAAGGGGAGGGCACACAGGTGAAGGCACGGAGTCAAGAGTGGTAATGACCCAGAAAACTCTGAAATGTCCCCCACAGGTTCATATTTTGGCTGTGTTTTCCCAGCTATTGCACTGTTTGGAGAGGCGATGGACCTTTAGGAGGCAGAGCCAAGCTGGCAGAAGGTCACTGAGGACATAGATCTAATCTACCTACGTGAGAAGCAGAGAAAGACAAAATCTCCTGAGTAAACTGGGGACCTTGGGAGAGGGTGGGAATGCAAGCTGGTACAACCCTCTTTGGATGTCAGTGTGGCGATTTCTCAGAAAATTAAGAAACAACCTTCCTCAAGACCCAGTAATACCACTTTTGGGTATATATCCAAAGGATGCTCAACCATGCCACAAGGACATGTGCTCAACTATGTTCATAGAAGCTTTGTTTGTCATAGCCAGAACGTGGAAACAACCTAAATACCCCTCGACCAAAGAATGGATAAGGAGAATGTGGTACATTTACACAATGGAGAAAAAAAACACAGCAGAAAAAAACTAACAACATCTTGAATTTTTCAGGAAAAATGGATGGAGCTAGAAAACATTATTTTGAATGAGGTAACCCAGACACAGAAAGACAATTATCACATGTACTCACTCAGAGGTGGTTTTTAAACATAAAGCAAAGAAAGCCAGCCTACAAACCACAATCCCAAAGAACTTAGACAACAATGAGGACACTAAGAGAGACCTACATAGATCTAATATACATGGGAAGTAGAAAGTAGAAAAAAACTAAGATCTCCTGAGTAAATTGGGAGCATGGGGACCTTTGGGAGAGGACTGAAGAGGGGAGGGGAGAGGCAGGGAGGGGAACAGAGAAAAATGTAGAGCTCAATAAAAATCAATAAAATATAAAAACAATAAAATTTAAAATTTAAAAAAGAAGGAAGCAAATAGCATTAAAAAATAAAAACAAAATAAGAAGAAGGTGACTGGGGGCAGTCCTTTGAAAGCTATACGTGGCCTGCCCACAGTATAGGCCACACTTTCTGCTTCCCTGTCTACAGAGACAGGAACACACTTGGCCACATACTTCCACACCCATGCCTTCCCCAGCATGATGGACTGAGGCCACAAACCATAAGAAACCTTTATCTAAGTTGTTTCTGCCAAGTATTGTGACCGCAGTGACTCACTGGTCATCCTGGGCCTGTGCCAGGCCAGAGTCGGATCCTCACCGAGACTGAATAAATCGGCAATTCTTGCCTCCTTGGATGCCTCTAGTTTCTGCCCTGTAAGACCTGTGATTGGCTCCTGGGCCCCACCCTTCCAGACCTCTGCTCCTTGGGGACCTGCTTTCAGCTCTTCCATTTCTAGTTGGTTCCTCCTCTGCCTTTTTCTCTGGCCTGGACTAATCCTCCTTTGTCCTCAACACCTGTCCAGTCCATGTTCCTTCCGATCTCAGCTCAACACTCACTTCTTCCGGGGGGATCAGCACAGGACCTGAGCCTAACGCATTTGTTTCAAAGGTTAGTCTAATGGACTATCAATACAGTACATGGTAGGTCAGGGCTACACAGCTCAGACTTTCATGCGGAGACAAAGCACTTGGGGCTGCAGCTACACTGGCCTCTTTGAGGTTCTAGGCAAGCTCCTCGGCCACGCCCCACCACTAGTCATCTCTCGGATTAGCGTGAGCAGCACAGCTGTTTCCTTCCAGTCAGGAAATCGGGCTACCCTGAGAATGTGGAATTAGCCTCATTTACAGCCCTGGAGAGCCCAGCTCCCTCGTGCCAGCGTTAGATCCGTGTCTTTCCATCTATCCCAGCCCACGGCTGCTTACTGTGGTCACGAGGTGCTGGCGGTCCTCAGCCTTCCCCACATGGCACACAGTGCCCGTCACACTCAGCCCCTCCCCCTTCAATGTGGTCACTGCACGGTCCACATTCTCCTGCTTCCGGCTGCTGATGACCACGTGGGCCCCATCCTGAGCCAGACGCCGGGCGATGGCAAAGCCAATCCTGTGGGCAGAAGAGGAAATGGTGGTGATGGTTTCCGCCCTCTCCATCTGGTTCCCAGGTGGACTCCAATGACTACGTCAATTGTTTCCCTGATATTGCCCAAGAGTGGCTTCAGAATCTTCAGTAGCCGACATTTTGAGTACTTGCTACATGCCAGGCCTTCACAGTCTTCTTATTTCATTATAAAAGCTTTATGTATGATAATTATATTATGTAGATGTAGATGTTTTCGTATTGTGTTAAAGGAGCTTTGAAAAGAGAAGGCTACACCATCAGAAGAGATGTGGCCGTGGTGGGTATCAGGACTAAATTAAAGAGACTCTTCCTAATTAGTCAGCCCTGTTGCTCTCTTCCCCGGCCTCAGGGCTCTGGCAGGGATTGTACTCCATCTAAACTAATGCCTTCCCTCTGGTCTGCAATGTTAAAGTGTTTCTGTGGGAGGACATGCTATCCTCCAGGTCTCCTAACACTGAGGCGGTCTGGAATCTTGTCTGGTACTGGTTAAGCGGCTCCAAACAAGGAAAAGAAAGAGGCATGTGCCCGGTGTCTTATTGAAACTTTCTGGGTGGTTGAGAATTTTAAATGTATTTTATGAGCTATGAATATTGAGAATTGGGAGCATGCAAAAGATTTAAGACATCACTGGGATCTGGATACTCTAGTTCTTTTGTTTTCCCTGGAAATTCTAAACAGTTCTAAATATATTGGTGACCATAAAAGATGACAACGGTCTCCCCTCCTGATGATGATGGTAAGGGCTCATTATAAATGCATATTGTTACAGGAGTCAGAAGACAGCTGGAACTGGGGGGTGTGGGAGGCCTTGCAAGGGCACATAGAGCACTCTGAGCTGATGGCCAAACATCACCCTGACATGCCTGGTGCTTTATGCAGTATGAGTCTAAGGCACAGTAGATGTCAGGCTTCTTTCTGTTAACGAAATACTCAAAAACCGCTGGCCAGGTAGGTATGGAGGATAAGGAAGCAGATGTGATGTTCTAGTGGTTAATGTTTATTAGGGACTGTCCCACCAACGATGGTCAGAGACAACATTCAGACTCTGCCCTGATTGTCTTCGGGCAGCTGGTTCTGTAACTACAAATCTTCTAGAGCTCGGAAACCTGGTATTTTAGGGAGAGATGTTGAGACACAGAGTTAAACACCAGAGCTGTGTGATGGGGGGGGGGGGGAGCCACAGGGATATATGAGATGAGTGAATTCACAGCTACCATGGCAACATCACCTGCTAACAAGGCAGCCAGGGACTTCCATCGCTCACCCTTTTGTAGAGCCAGTGACCACAGCCACTTTATCAGCCAGGGCACATTTCTCATCTGCTCTTTTCCTGAACATTCTTGCTGAGAGAGGGACTGAGGCATACTGAGAGCCCCTAAAGACCCGTGGGACAGACCTGAGAATGGCAGCCATTGGAGAGAGACCTGCAAAGACAGTCATAATTATGGGACACATGAGGACATGCACTCTCTTGAGTCCTCCGCGAAGTCTCTGACAGGTGTTCCACCATCCTCCAAACCTTCCAGACAGCATAGAACCCTGCTGTGGCATACTCTTTCTGTACACTGTGAAGATGTGTCTCTGCCTAAGGTGCCTTCTGATTAGTCTAATCGGGAGCTGAATAACTAGGCATGAGAGAACAAGCAGGGTTTCCAGGGAGAGAAAGAAACTCCAGAAAAATCTGAAGCTCGTGGGATTAAGCCAGTGAGACAAGGAGGGAGTCAGATACACAGTATGGAGGCAAGGTGGCGAGCCATGTGGCAGAACTTCTATTAACATACATGGGTTAATTTAAGTTATAAGAGCTAATTGGGAACAAGCCAAAGCTATAGGTCAAACATTCATAATTAATAAGATATAGAAAGTTTACATGTCATTATTTGGGGACTGGCAGTCGTAAGGAAGACCAACCACAGAACCCTTCATGTCTTTCCTCTAACCTAGGCTCTTTACAGGCTTCCCCATAGTGAGCCACCAGCACAGTATGTAGCCAGGCATGGTGCTGGGCCCTAGGAGATACTTGCCTGACCTACTTCCAACCCTCCAATAAGAAATGTCACTTACAATATGTTTCTTAGAATCACCTTTGGACTTCTTACACACATCCTTTATCTGAGCACTGAACTTTTGATTTCTTTTGGAGGGTTGAAGCCAGGGCTAATATATGTTAAGCATGAGCTCTGGCTGCTTCCCAAGCCCTTAAGTCCTTAAGTCCTTAAGCATTTAGCTTATTTCTTCTCAGCATCTTCAGTTTCCAGCCATTCCCTCACCTGTTACAATCTTCTCTTCCCTCAGGTTCATTCTCAAAGCAACAGCAATAATCCATTTGTCCGAGCGTGTAAACTTATCAGTGCATCTGACCAGTCAGATGTTTCCCTCAACACAAGGCTCCCAGTTATCTCTATGTGAAGCTTAGCTATCTGCTCTTTTTCTGATCTGGACACCATCACCAGGCCTCTTTCCTCACCTCCTTCTCACCCAAGCTCACACCTCCCAGACTTGTCTGCCCCAAAAGTCCATGTCACCTTGTCATTTTAACTATATCAGTAATACTTCATCTCTGAAACCGTCTCTCAACACAGCTTTCATCTCAGACCCCGCCTACCATGCTTAATCACCATTGTCAGTTTGATTGACTTAAGAGTGGCATTTGGGGGCTCACCTTTGGATATCTGTGAAGATGTTTCCAGAGAAGATCACTAGGAGGGAGGTGCCCTGAAGGAGATCCCAGACTGAACACATAGAAGAAAAAGAAGAAGTCAGATGAGTACCAGTGTTTGTCTGTCTGCATTCCCACACACTGACTAGTTGTCTCATAGCCCCTGCCAGCCCTCTCTGCCATGGTGCACTGTATCCCATCTTAAACTACGAGCTGGAATAAATCCTTACTCCAGTGACGGTATTTTGCCACAGCATGGAGAAAAGTAAGGAATGTATTCCCTTGCCACCTAATCAGAAGAAACAACCGTTCTCTAGACTGGCTACCCCCAGCATACTTCAAGGCAAATAGTTGTTCAGGAGGTGCTCTTAGGAACCAATGTTAAAATGGGGGTAGAATAGACAAGATGAAAGCGAAAACAACCTAAGAAAGGTCCCTGATCCTGTACACATAGTAGACCTCTCCGCTCTGCTACGGTTCAACTCTGCTGAGGCATCCTGAGCTACCGATTCAAATGCCGGAGGGAATCCAGGGAAACTGACGACTTAGGTTGGACAACATCGGCAGTGCTTTCAGGACTTTGGAGATTTAACACTGAGAGTTGCCTTCCAGGAAACTCCTGAGTCCTATGCAAACCAGGAGGGGACACTTTCATGGTCTGTTTCGAGCGCCTGGCAGTCAGTGGCCGGAGTCCAGCCAAAGCGGCAAAGGCTTGCAGGTTCTTGACAAACACAGCAACAGAAACAAGTTCCGCCCCCCCTAGATATTTGTGATATAGTAATATAAAGATTATAATAACTAAAGATTAATGCCCAGGGCTGAAAAAGAAAGGACCCTTAGGGGAAGTGAGGTGGAATTTGGGGCCAGATCAGTCTATGTTAGGAAATAGGACTGAAGAGTTGTCCAGTCACAGAGTGACCTGGGTCCTGAGACATGACTGACTGTAGGGAAAACAGCCTGGATTTAGGGGAAATGATATGGGACACCACAGAATTAGAGGAAGTTCCTAACCGGGCAGTGGTGGTACACACATTTAAACCCAGCACTCGGGAGGCAGAATCAAATGGACCTCTGTGAGTTCAAGGCCAGTCTGGTCTACAGAGCTAGTTCCAGGACAGCCAAGGCTGTTACACAGTGAAACACTGTCTGGATACTCCCCCACCCAGCCCCCAAAAAGAAAGTGCCTGAAGATTTACATTAAAACTGATGTTTCAATGTGAATAAATGATGGTATAAATGTCCCCAATGTACCTCTGGGCCTTGGCAACTGAAAATCCTCGTTACCCTTCGTGTGCCTTGTCTTCATCGTGATTTAATTCTTACCCTGCTTCCGACTGGTCTTCCAATCTTTGAATACTTACTAAAGACACACACGAGCAATGACTTAGTGCAGAAAGCTAACCGAACCTTTCTTGAGAACAGGTCATAAGTCTTCAAAACTACACAAGGTCACATCTGTTCTCAACATAAAGGCTTTAAGCCACCAAGCACTTTTTATAAAATCCTCGAGTTTCAAAGCAAGTTTAATCTTGTTTATCTCAAGGAAAGGAAAGCCATCTTACAAAGCGTGTCAACACTTTACCCTTCGGGGCCTTGGGGATGCTTGGAGATGAAACCATTAAAGAGAAGATCATGCTGAATAATGCTGTAGGAGTGGATGCTGGTACAATCTGACTGGCTTCCTGGGGGCAGGGGGTAGTTACACCAGAGTGTGATGGAGATGCGTATACACGGAGAGGACACATGAAGACAGTTGAAAAGGTGACGTCCGCAAGCCTCGGAGAGATGGCAAGAGAAACCAAGCCTGCCAGCACTTCGGCTGTGGAATTACAGGTTTCTGTGGTGTAAGTCACATGGTCCTATCAGAGTCATGGTAAATTAATGTAAGAAAGAAAAAGAAACTCAATGATTTTTTGTTATACCTTATATCCCTCAACTCTCCTTTTACTAGAAAAGGCACACTAAGAGCTTATGATTTTCCAGAAAACAGTCAAAAGAAAAACAAACAAAAACAAACAAAACAAAACAAAACATCAGAGTTCAGGAATTTAGTTCAATGATAGAGCTCTTGGCAGCAAATGCAAGGCCCTGGGTTCTCTGGGGGGGTGGGGTGGGTAGGAGGAGAAAGAAGGAAATGAATCCACAAGCCTCAGATCCACAAATGTCTGGAGCACAAAAGTGTCAGTAAAGCCAATGAAACAGATGGGGCTTCCCCAGCACAGTAATAGCATCTAAAAGGCAACAGGGGTCATGCAGAAACAAACAAAACAAAACAAGCAAGCAAACAACCTGCCATGCTTGCAGCTTTATACTCTGTTCCGACTTGCCAAGATTTACCACATAGCAAATTATGTGTGCCCATTTTTGGCCCAGAAAGTGTCATCGTTGCTATATCTGCCCCTTCCAAAGACAGTGATGGAAAGGAACATCTATCTGGCTTGCAGCTTTGACATGTAGCTCACATTTCTAGTCCCAGCCAATGCTTGACGAATGTCTACATAGAAAAAGATAGAGGTGGAGGTGCTGCTCAGAGACAGTGACAGGTGCTTGTCTAACAAGCACAGACCCTGGGTTCATTACTCAGCCCTGGAGGAGGAGGGGAGGGAGAGGCAAAGAAGAGACAGAAAAGAAGTGGAGGGGACACAAGGACAGGAGAGGAGAGAGGAGGGAAGAGGATGAGAATGGAGGAGAGAAGAGGAGAAGGGAAGGGAGGGGAAGAGAGGAGAGCGGAGGAGGGGAAGGGGAGTAGGAGAAAAGAGGGGAGAAAGAGGAAGGGAAGAGGAGGGAAGGGGAAAAGAGAAGGGAAGGAGATAGAAAGGGGAGGGGAGGAAAGCCTAAATAAATGGTGATGTTTCTGATGTGACTAATTAAATCAGTTCTTCAATCTTCTTTGCCACAGATCACTAGATAAAAAATACCAAAAAAAAAAAAAAAGGAAAGGAAATTCAAATGAACAGATAGCTCAACAGTTAAGAGCAATGGCTGCTCTTCCAGAGGACCTGAGTTCAATTCCCAGCACCCACAAGGCAGCTCACAAATGTCTGCAGCTCAGTTCTAGAGGATCCAACACCCCTACACAGACACAGGCAAAACACCAATGCACATAAAATGAATAAATATTCTTTAAAAAGTCAAAACATGATAAAAAAAAAAAAGAAGGCTCATAAAAATCCCAGAGAGGGCTTAAGAGATGGCTCAGCTCTTAAGAGCCTTTGGCTGTTCTACTGAGTTGGGTCCCTGGCAACCACACTGGACAGGGCCTGATGCCTCTTCTGGCCTCCAAGAGCACCTGGGCTCATTCAGGCACATGAATATACAAATAATTTTTTAATCTTTTGATGAGTTATGAGAAAAAAATAAAGACAAATAAGGTTACCACACAAGAAAAACTCACAGCCTCAAATGCCTTCAAGGGATGTAGTGGTGAGGTGGGAGCTGCTACAGCAGTGAGGTGGGAGCTACTGCAGTGGTGGGAGCTGCTACAGTGGTGGGAGCTGTTGCAGTGGTGAGGTGGAGCTGCTGCAGTGGTGAGGTGGAGCTGTTGCAGTGGTGAGGTAGGAGCTGCTACAGTGGTGAGGTGGAGCTGCTGCAGCAGTGAGGTGGGACGGGCTGAAGGTACACTCTGGGACGGTGGACATAGTAAGTAGGAGTGTCCTGGACTATTGTCAAAACAGGACTTTTGGAGAACAATCAAGCAAAAACCACTGTTAAGAAATGAACAGGGCCTGCAAGAGGGCTCGGTAAATAATGACACCGTGAGTCACTAAGTCCAACAACTTGAGTCTGATTCCCCAGAAACCCATATGGTGGAAGGCGAGCACTGATCTGTGCAAGTGTGTGCACACACACAAACAAATAGGTGTAACAAAATGACAGTATACTCCTCAGAACATATGCCATAGGATATCATCAAAGCAATATACCAAGAACCAAGTGACCTTTAAACATCCCAGGAAAGGAAATAACTGACAGCAACGAAATACTCTTTTAACTCAACAAGTTAATAAATAACTTGTTTCTTATAAATACAAATAAATACAAATAAAATAAGAACGGGAGAGTAAAATAAAAGCAAAAATTAAAGTATGGAGACATGGACCGGTCATCCCCAAACATGGGAAACTGAGGCAGAATTGTAACTTTCAGGCCAGACTGGGCTACATGGTGAAATTTTTTTGCTCCCCACCCCACCCCACCCACTTCAAAAAAAGGAGGAAAAGAAGGAAGAAAAGAAGGCAGTAACATCTGTTCATTTTAAACACCTGGTTACTTCTTAGAGACATTGTAGTCAGAGGCTGCTTGTTCCTTCCCAGCTGCCCAGACTCGAAATAACCACACAGAAAATGCATTAATTAAATCACTGGTTGGCCAAACACTTAAGTGTATGGCTCGCTAGCTTTTACATCTAGAATGAACCCATTTCCATTATTTTATATTTTACCACGAGGCTTGTGACCTACTAGCAAGGTTCCCGTTGGCAGCTCATGTCTTTCCCCTCTGGTGGCTACACTACGGTATCTCTTTGACTCTGCCTTCTTTCTCCCAGCATTCAGTTTAGTTTTCCCCACCTAGTTCTACTCTGCCCTATCACAGGCCAAGCCAGTTTCTTTATTCATTAATCAACAACAGCAACACTATAAAGAAGGACTTCCCACACTACTTCCCCTTTTCTTTTAAACAAAAAAGAAGGCTTTAACTTTAACATAGCAAAATTACATATAATAAAACAGGTATCAAGCAAGAATTATACCTACAATATTTATATCTACTTTATCCTTTATCATAACTAAGAAAAACTATAATTATAACTATCTATTCTTCAACTCCATCAAAGACTCCGGAAGGATATACTATTACCTGAGTTAACAGGAAGTGCATTGTAAGCAACTTCCAAAACTCTAGAATTGACAAAGACAACTCGCTGTCTGAACTGTCACCCAAAGTCCTTCTGTAATGTTGCCGCATCCAATCTTCAGCCTACAGGCCCATAGTATCTGGCAGACTTTTTCATGAAGCAGGAAATCTAAAGATCTGCTCTCCCTTGTAATGGCAAAGTCCATCAGTTGCTTTCTTCTATGTCCTGCA